CCTCTTAGTGACTCCTGTGAGTCTAGCAGCAAAACACCTCTGCCCAAAGCCTGTACCAAGCCCTATACATGAGCCTGGCAAAGGGCTCTTCAGAAGGTGGAGCTCCTGGGGGGGTGACATTGTACACGTGGGCAATGGCTGGTGGATTCACATAGCACCTACTAGTCCTGCTCTTTCCCAGCCTTTCCCCCTGTGTGCTAGGCTGCAGGGAGCTGCCATCGAGCTGAGCTCTATGGTGCATAGGGCTGTAACCCTGTGCTCAGTGGGTTCCACGAATCCTGCCTCCTCCTGCAAAGTAGAACTGTGCTGGTCCCACCACATCCAGGAGGCTGGAGGGACCAGGACGTGTCCTGGAGCATGTTGCAGGAGGAGGAGTTGACCTGGTTAGCTGACACTGTCAAGCAGTGTTGCTGCCCAACACTCTACATTGGTTACAGTTGCTCACTCAGAGCTTTCAAAGGCACTTTCTGAGCCCTCTTTCTTCTGCACCTGCCCCCTGTTTTGGTGTATTGCAGCATGTGAACGGGACACTTCTCCATGTGGATCTGCTCTGCAGCATGAGGAGCAGGGGAGGGGCCTTGCTACATCCCTTCATTGGTGATGCAAATGCTGAGATGGAGAGTCCCTACTCACACTGGCAGCCGAGTGCCAGGCTGAGGGGTGCTGCTGGCCAGTGCTGTAGGAGGAACAGAAATTGGCTTTCTGTTAGGCTGCTAGGCTTTGATTCTCCCCCCCCCCCTTACTTGGCAGCTGCATGGACCATTTCCTTCTCCTTTGTGTCTTCCCCCTCCTACTCTGCCCCAGGTTCCAGAGCCTGGAATGGTCTGGGCCTGGTTCTGGAGTGAGAACATCCTTCTAGACCCCTCCTTGCAGTCCATCAAGTTCCCTCAACCACTCCTCCTCTGCCTAAGGCAGTGACCCCAGAGGTGTATTGATCTCTGCAGGGGAGGGGGACAGGGCTGACTAGGCAGTGCCCAATAGGGAGATAACTGATTGCTTTGGGGTGGGGATGGGGGTTTGGGAACCTTGTGTGCAACTGACATCCCCTTTTACGCAGTTTTATGGATGTGGGGCTTCCAAGGCACCAAAATGTGTCCACTGGGGGAGGGGGCCTGTCCGTGTGTTCTTGTATCTGTGTTTCTGCCGCTCGCCTTTGAGTTTTGTCTCTTGTTTTGCAGATGAATCTCTGAGACCAAAAATATTTTAGAAAGTTCTGTTTCAAGCTGTTAATAAGTTTTGTCAGTTTGTTTATGTTCATTCTATGCAGCAGTGGGAGTGTCAGGGTAGGAGGGACAGGCAGATTCAGGGGTGACCAGGGACTACCTTGGCTTTTCCTGGGTGTGAATGGCCCTGGCAGGGGAGTGGCTGGTGGGATGATGGAGCCAGCATTCTGAGCTGTCACAGAAGGGGGAGCAGGAGTAACAACTACATCAGCGCTTGCTGTCTGTGCTGGTGCTACCCTATGGTGCAGGGCATGTTGCTTAGTGGTGCTCAGAGCAAGTGCAATCACTTAAAGGCATGGTGCAAACACCACATTTGTGCACAGCTGTGGGCACTTTGTGGATGGGAGATGTGTTACTGGTGCATTAGGAGGTTGCTTTGGAGCTGGCAATGCCAAAATGCTCTAGAGTAGAGAAGGAGAGAGCTGGTAGCAACCCCTATATTCAAGTTGTCTAATATTTTCCATTACAAAGGATTCTTGCAACCTTTTCTTTGAGAAATGTTCGTCTCACTATTGTTTACAGCTGGCATTTGATGTTCAGCAGGGGAAAGGCCCTCAGGCCACAGAAGTGTCTGTTCTTTGGGCTTATCTACGTGGAGAAATTTGCCAGTATAATTAATTATACCACTCTAGTTATACTGGTATAACTCTTAGTCCAGAACAAGAAGAGCAATATAATTATACCAGTATAGTTATGCTGGTAATTTTCCCCGTGTAGAACAGACCCAAATCCCATGAAATTCTGTTCAGCTTTTGCTGAGATGTGAACTGTTACAAGCAGCTGTGGTGGTGTTCCTTTCTGTGATGGTGTTCTTCTGGGGAGAGTTGCCAGAATCACTGAACACAGGAACCTTCTACAGCAGGGCCCATGCTACCACCGCAGCAGCAGCAAACACGGCACTGGAAATGTCTGAGAGCTGTCTGAGCAACAGGGTGGAAGAGACCTGGGCTGGGCTTACTCCCCTGGACCTGTCAATGGCCCTAATGGCCCTTCCTCCTCCTCCTCTGGGGTCATGACATGGGGCTGGTCCCCATTCCCCTCAATTCTGTTACCACCAGCTAGCGTGGGTCACAGTCTGTGCTGCGATGCTGAAGGTTTGGGGTTTGAATATTTTTTTCCAAAATAAATGCTTCACTGCTCCTAACTCAGCATCTGGAGTCCAGCGCCCATGATCGTGGCAGCCCATTGCTGATGGGCTGCCCTTCAGTGACAAACGTGTGTGTGTGTGCATGAGGGGAGGAACAGGCAAGCACTGTTCAATAAGGAAACAATTTCAAGCCCAGGTTTCCAAAGCGTGGTTACGAACACACACACCAGAAGGAAGGAGCTGAAGGGCTGTCGAAACAACGGGGGGAAGAGGTTTCTCCTTGGTTTATAACTCATGCTTGCCCTCTCTGATTCTTTCCCTTTTGTTTTCCCCGTTTGGCAAGGTTTTTAATTGTTCTTCCTTTCCAGTGAAGTTGGTGTGGATGACACCTGTCTGTGGTTCACTCTGTGGGTAGTGCACTGGTCTCTACGGTAACTGAGAAGGTGTCTGTGTTAACTTGCCTTCTCTCTGCTGGCTTTGAGCATCTGAGCAGAAGTCCTGCTTGACACACAGCACTGCCCTGTTTTCACTGGAGGTGTGATTTTAAGCTGATTTAGTTAAACAGTTGCCAGTGTGTATGTGGACATTCATGTCTGCTTAGCTTGCTTCGGTAAATTTACAGGCACAAACTGAAGTGCTGTAACCAGCCTCAAACCCGTAGAATTGTTTGCACCATTTAACTCACGTAGGTTTGACTGTACAATGTGTGTGTGTGTGTGTGTGTGTGTGTGTGTGTGTGTGTGTGTGTGTGTG